AAAACTATGAAAATGCACATAAGATCGATTGGACGAAAAACCGTCTAAGTGGTATTGAAATACACTATGATTCAATTTTTAGTTTTTTTAAAATCATTATGTTAAGGCTAACATGGAAACATTTCTTATACGTTGAAAAACAAGAAAATACGTTTGATAAAAACGATTTGATTGAAAATTGGTTAAAACTACTTGATGACTTTGCGAAGTTTTTACATTTAAAGGACGACGATTTTGTTTATAAGATAATAAATACAATTAGAATACAGGGAACAGTTGATGATTACCTTCTCAAATGTTATTTAAACACCTTATGTTGCGATTTACATTGCAATGCATTAGAAGAAATGAAATTAGACGGCAAAGAATTTGCTTTTAAAAAAGATACTAAACCAGTTCACAACGAAACGGAGCTGGAAACTGTTGAGTATTATAGTCTGGGCACTGCTAAAAAATTTATCGATAGAATAAAGGCATTATTTGTAAATTCAGACTTTAATTTTGTTAAGTCATTTATTGATTATGCGGAAAATAATAAATTGTTTTTTCAAACTGAGAAACCAATTAAATATTTATTTTCATTATCCGATATGTAATTGTCATTGAAATGTTTGTTTCAATTATTGAACCACTCAAAATTGTTTTAAATAATATGCATTAAATGTTATTGTACTAGATTAAAATTTTATTTTTTGTAACAAAAAGTTAAAAATTTTGTTTTTTTTTTTGTGCGTAATGTTCACCTTTTATAATAAAAATTGATCGCGTGAACCTAAAATTATTAAAAATTAAATCTATGTTAAAATGAACAATTTAAAACTAAAAAATATTCAACTCAAAAAACAACAAAATAAATTACTAAAATATTGCGGATCCATATTTCGAGATAAATGTTACTTTTATGAGTGCTAAACACATAATATACGAAATGCGTATCTGATGCTTTTTGAGTTGAATATTTTTAAATTTTTTTAATTTAAAGTTAATATTTTTAATCTAAATGTAATTTTAGATATTAAACTTTTGATTGAAAATGAATTTTTTTTTAAATAATATTATCAAAATTCTTAAGTCACTACAATTGTAATAAATAAAAATGAAATACAATCATATTTTAAAATGTAATCTTTAATTTTTTTATTTAATTTATCTTACGATAGACGGAGTCGGTTTCTGCTACGCCTTATTCTCCATAAATTTAGAAACTAATATAATAATTCATATCCGAGTGGTGTATAAATCAACATCGCGTCTGGTCGAGTTGTCGATTGTGATTTCTATGTATTTTAATGGAACATACGCATTATTATAATGAGGCGTATGCGTCGATCTAGTGGCAAATTTAACTCGTGTATTTTTTTATACTCAGCCTCCGACTCGCTGTGTCGAGTACGTCACATCTTCTTACACGCATATATGTATTGTTAACTATTATTTTATGGATGAGTTGAAATCCTACAGATTTGGAACCGTCAAGACAACACTATATTATGTTTCAATCGTCTGCACATGTCGCGTGTGCTTCTACACTAATATTATACATTTGCTGCATACAGAAACATTTTTCGGTGTATTATTTACCGCGTTGTAGGTACAGTCGTTAAACCGGTTGGCTTAATAATAATATCATTTCAAAGTTGCATGTATATGAGCTATAACAAGTCAGGATGACCACTTCAACTGTACCGTGGAGATGATATTGTAACCATCTCTCTGGCATAATAGTATTGTTGTTATCATTACACGTTGAACGTATCATAAATATGTACATAAATCATTATTTACTATTCTATCTTGTTAGAATTAACACCGTTTCCAAACGGATACATTATTTCCCCTCTCCATTTTGTTCTAGGCGCTGATGACCATTATTGTGCTACTCCTATTAACGGTTATCGAATACAATCGTCTATAGGCCATTTATTGCAATCTTCTACGCCGTAGTTATCTTCGTATAATGCCATGTACCGAGAATATTTATGCGTTTCCAAAAGTTTAAATGTACGTATTGGAATACTGTCATAAATTTCTGTTTGAGCGTAACGATTGCTCAGTCTCGAGAATCCAAAACGAATATTATTCTTGAGGGAGTTTGTTGTAACCTCGTCGTACACTGCTGTAGATAACATTCCAAGACAATATATATTGCTGCGAGGTGCGAATAAACGCGCGTGAATGTATACATTATATAGCGAGTCCAATTTAAATAAGAGCAAACGGTTTTTATCTTTATACTCTGACTAGATGTATTGTAGTGTTCGAGCGAATGGATGGGACGGTTATATATAACTTGTCGTCGAGCCGGTGACAATCTCTTAGCCATTGTTACGGCCATAAATTAGCTGTGTTTTCGTTTTAAGTGTGGTCCGTGTGTTATGATACGCGGTAGAAGAGGTGAAAAAAATAAACAAACGACGACCAGAGTAAATATAAAATAAAAACAGTGCCGCATTGTGAAAAGTCGTTTGAATGGCGTTCGCTCTAGCGGCGGCGAGGCTTCTGTACAGAGAAAACAGAAGAACTGTGTAAAAAAAAAAAAAAAAACAAATAATAGGAAAAAGTATAGAATATAACTGGCGCGATGACACCCCGGCTGATTTAGGAGTCGGCAGCCGACGCCAGATAGTGTACGCACACACACTCGGCCGAGCGTTAATATTTATTTACACATATCCGAACGTCACAAAGGACAATTGTGTGTAGGTATCTTCTCTATATTATGTATATTATTTATATATACTGTTATATGCATGTGTACACGGAGTATTGTGCGGGATAAGGTAAGAACGGCAATCGATTATATCTAACCTTTCTCGGAGTGTTGTTTTTATAAAATTATTATTACCGCGTATTCTCAGCACCCCGTCGGAACGATATCATCTTTCTTGGCGTGCAGCTAAAAGGGCTCGAGTCATGTAAATTCTTGGCGACCGGTCTCCGCACTACGCCCGATTTCAAATCAACCGCCCAATCGCGCGACAATGTGATCGCGGAGATACAAATTTGGATTCGAGGAGCACCACCCCTTTGACGTGACACGAGTTGAATTGCACCGGTACTCGACGTAACCATTCTTGGCATTCCCATTTCGTCGTATGGTGTACAAAGCGACGCGAGTTTGTTCTGAAAAATGTTCACTGTCCAATCGGACTAAATTCCAAACGCGCCAACAACTGTTGTGTATCTTCTGAGATTAATTATATCCTAAGAGTTATTTATCGACGCCGATGAAGATAAGTAAGACGTCTCTTGTGTGCATGTTCGTGGAAATGAAAACTGTTGAGTTATGGACGGACAAATGATATTTAAAGGATTAACGAATAATTTAATACAAAAGACTTCGGTAAACATATCGTTAATTATGTTACCACCGAGAGATTTCAACGCGATACCACTCGAATTCCACGCGTGTATCGGATACGCCGCTTCTTGTACGTTAAAATGATAAAAAAATTGACGTGTCTAACCAGTTGACCGGTTGCCAGGATATATTAGTATTGTGATAAAATCGATTTGATATATTTATTGGTCGATTAGTGTGCAAGTAGTGAACCGCTCATTTTGAACAGCCAAACCAACGTATTAGCTGCAATCATGAAATACAATTAGAACGCCTTTTTTAATTTCAGATAATTAATAATTGACCTCCAGTTTTCTTATCCCTCGAACGACCTATGTAACTCATGCAAAAATCTTAATCAAGTAATTTATTTTAATTTATGTTATTTTTCTTCTCGAATTCATCTCCGATAAACTATAGCAAAGAAGAAGTCATCAATAAAAATTTAATTGATCATCGAGGACCTGAATAATTTAGCTTGTACTTAAGTATATTGAATTTCGCTGCAGTCCGATAACAAGTCTTTTTTTTTTTTTAATTCATTCATGCATAATGCAGAAAATAGTACACAAACTGTCGCTATTTTACATAACTAGATCTGTTGGATTATAATTTTAAAAAATGCAGTCTCTTAACGAATTTAACGGTAGAAATAAAAAAAAATATACATGTTTTCTCGTGTAGACTCGTCAAAATAACTTACGGCGGTCGACCAAATAGAAAATATGTCATTTTACGGGAATATAATAATTTCGTCGAATGGCAAAACGAGCGCACCTTACAACTATTATGTTATTTACTTTTTCGTTTAAATTTTATTACCTGAGACGGCGTTAACCGCATTGCCGCGTCACAATTCTCGGCTCGTATGTCGGTCGTTATATTGTTATTACATTGTTGCGGGGGCCGGTAGCCAGGTGAGTTATGACCGCATGTGTGCGGCGGCGATGGGGTTTTCGAAAAAGGGAAAATAGCGTGTATATACTTAGTGAACGTGTCGCGGAAATGTGTTAATCTGAGCGGGAAAAGGACGTGACTGCCGCGAAAGTCACGAGACCGTCTAATAATATGCGCCGCGCTAAGATTTTGATCGCTGTGCTCCCCTTTTTTTGGATCATATGGAGCGTTAATCGCTTACGACCGGGTAGGAGTCGTTAAAGCACTGACGATTTTTAGCAAAGGAAACCGGCTGATAACACGCAAACGTGTAAATAAATTGTCACTTGGACTCAAGATGAGGCTCGAAGAGGAAAACGAAATAATCTCATTTTTTTGTCTGCGGGGTTCCAACTCATTATTATTGTTACTCGTATGATGTATTAATATTAACCGAGAACACCTTTGCGTGTGTGTCTTATTATATTAATAACGTTGTATTATGACCTTCGATAGGATCCGTGTTCCATTATTTTTTACGGAACGCCGTGTGTTTGTTAATCCCGATGAAGGGCTTATTAACAATGACTTAAAAAACAACAGATACAAAAAATAAATAAACAACAAGTATCATGTATGTAAATAACAATATCGAGAGAACAAAACCACTTGTCAATTGTCACCTTGATAGGGATTAAATTATTTTTTGTCGTACCTTCTAGAAACTAAAAAAAATATAAATACATATTTTTTTATTTGTTATTAATTGTTTATTGTGTTTCAGGCTCTGGAATCAAAATCGTCTGATGCTTCTGCCAACAAATGTTTTAGCTGATGAAAACTATGTAACGGAGGTAAGTCACAATAATTTCACAAAATGCAGTTATAGAAACGGTGATGATAGCTGAACAATGTTCATTGTTTGTTTGGCCTTTTAACCGAATTCCGCAAAGATATGTAAATAAATTAGTTCGAGTCGATTACAATTTCCTCTTGTGTAGAATCCTATATAAAAGAGGGTTCAACTTGTGAAAGCAGGTGAATGTAAAAATTCTTTATAAACGTGGTGACACTTCGTGACAAAAATACACTCGACTGTTGTCCGAAGTCTTCGATAGCACATGCCGTTTCTAAACGCACTAATTATTGTTTGCTCAACTCGTTGCACTGATCTTTCCCTTTTGGCATTCAAAACTCAATTATTCGGTTGGGTTCAGAAGACATATACGTCATTAAACGTTTATTCGTAGGACCTCTAGTTCGGTATGTTAATAAGAAAGCATTTTCAAGAATACATTTCCATTAAGACATCTGGAAGTACGCCAGTTAGTTGAGTAGGTTAGGAGTGGAGTTACTATATAATAGGGCGTGGTGGTTTTGTTTTCCGATACATAAACCTTATAAGAATAATAGTGTGCAGTTAAGTTTTAATGAAGTCGGCCGAGTGACAGCTGAAAACAATAACATAAAATTAACTTTTTTTAATCTCGCACGACGTGCAAATACATTCGTTGCCCGCAACAGTCAAACTGGGCGCCAACCTTACTTCTGGTTAGACTACTCGTCGGTAAAAGAAATTATATTTCTCCGAGTGTGTAAAAAAAATACACATTATAGGCACCTAAAACAAATTATATTTTGCTGTTTTTGGTACAGGTAGTCGGATGATAATTTGTACCATCATATCTTCTATAATCTCTTGAAAGGTTGGGACACGTACCTTCACCACAGTTGTCATTTGACCCTACAGTAGATCATTAATAACTTTATTATGTCTCTATACATTGCACACTGCAATTATAGCTGAAGTCGTGAATAGTTTTATGTGTTAGATGGTACCCGAATTCAAGACGACCGAATGCTTCTCGTCAAAGATCATATATATATATATATATTTTTTTATGTGAATGTTATCTCAAGACGTATCGATATTTGTTTTGATGAAATTGAACCTTTACGTACCGGGAAACCCATTGACTTTATAAGAGACCATTTTTGAATTGATATTCTTATTAATATTTACGGTTATTTTTGCTTTGTTCGTGATTTGATTTTTTTTTTTTGCGATCTCTGAAGTATTATAATTTAATATGTTATCGCAATACCGTTTTTCTGAATAAAATTTTTTATTTCTTCCATTGTAATATTTAACCACAACAGTTGTTCAAGCAGTGCACGTTCTGGGAAAATTGCTAGAAGGCTTTTGTTTGAAGCAACCAGCCAAGAGACTTGATCTTATAAAGATTTCCTTATCACAAGTAATCACACAAACATACTTTGAACCCTCCGGGTCTGAGTTCTCACCTCTTGTGACCACCCATTTATTCGTAGGCAGCAAAGAAGACTCCGCCCACGAGTACCCCTATAGAAGATATTTGATACTAGTTGGAGAAAGAGTTAAAAAAAAATTAAAATGGCGTTATATCAAACTATATTTTGCTTCTTGTCCGAAAAAAATATCAATTGTTGTCAACTGCGCGTAATAAATTACAATTTATGAAAAATACAAACTATGTTATTTTGCTAGCGCGTGACAATGTAAATTAATGTCACGGAAGTAAGCGATAACACCGTGTTAAAATATGATTGGCGTGACGAAATATACCCATCAAAATTATGATCACATAGGTAAATAAAACATTAATAGCATTTTATATAAAACGTCCTGTTTTGATGTTCGTTATGGGCACAAAGGGTGTGTCTCCAATCTCCTATTCATCACGTCGAGGGTGAAACAGTTTTGTCAAAAGTTTTTTCAGACTGACACACCCAAACGATAAAGCGAACATTGCAGTTGAACGTTTGACAAGCATTTATTATTTTTTAATACAACAATATATTGACAGTGTTATTTATTTATTTCTAACGTGTATTTTATTCTGACGTAACTAGACTGCTGCTGGTGCGTACAGTGTCCTTCGTTAGTGTTCGTTTCGCTTTTTATGGCGAACAAAACTCAATTGTATGCAAATACGAGCGGAGTTTTTGCATAACACGCCAGTTTTTTTTATTTTCTTATAATGTGGCATATCATACGTGCGAATCCTTCAAAACTTCTTCCAATCTCGTTTTCAGATCTCAATCGCCATTACCCTCCTCGGGCGCAACTTGCACTAACCGCACAAAAGCCACCTCGCCGTGTTATCTTTTTCTCGAATAACAGTAAACATACGAATAAACGTAATGCATTTATTCTTGCTGTACGACGACATTGACCCTTGGGATGTATTTTAAACCCTTGGTACGTTTGTTTGTACGCTTATTGTGTGTGCTCTTACCTTTGGGACGTTGCAGTTTCTTTTGTCGTGAGAGTCGAGTGGGGTTACCGTTTAAGAGTTATAGCCGTCCGCCGTTTTCCAATACCAATCGTCGTTATTAATAACAATATCGTTTCAAACGGCGTCACAGAGTGCGACTGAATTGAGTTGTACCTGAATACGTCTGCACACAATCGCCGGACCATACGCGTTTCTATGTATACGGTTTTCGTGTGTATTCTCTTTGTGCCTGTCCGGCGTATGTTACAAAATGTTCCTCCCGTTATGACCTGCAGGTAAATCGCGTGTGTGTGTGTAGCTCACTGTACACACTCCATGTATGAAGACACGATGGCAAACGCACTGGTTCTTACCGACGTTCTGACGTCTGATGGATGGCGCGATCGGAGTCCATACGCACATCGGCAGATACATCCCAAGTCCTGCGATGGAATAATGCAACCTCATAGTGTAATAACAACAATAAGTTACAATATTTTTTATTATTCTCACGTCGTTTACCCTTTTAACGAAGTCGTAGTGTGAAACGTAAAGTAATTTTAACGATATTTTTTATTTATAATACCCGATAATAACAATAATCATAATCTAACGCCGCTTATCGTTGTCGTGTCTGACATTATTATGTTTTTGTTTTGGGAGGCGATGACCGACAGTGTATGTTGTTAAGTCCTCCCTTAGGAGTCGGTTGATCGAGGTGGTTCGTTGAAGTCTCCGCGGGATTTTTTTATTATTATTATTATAATGAGATCTCAGGCGGCAGCGGTTTCGGTATACCATTTTGTTGTACAAATATACGGCTCGTACACCTATCTAAGAATTATGTATACGATAGCCAGTCGAAGATACCTTTATTACACTGTTGTACGTCTTCTTGTACCTACACGAGGTACTGTAATAATAAACGACGACATGGCAATGGACGTGAGCGCGGGGAACGATGCGGCCATGTTTTCGGTGCGCGCGGCCGTCTCGATGGATACAACCTGACCGGGCCCGACTAATTAAGGCATCATTCACACCGTACCCTCTAAAGATTTGACACCCCGTACGCTTGTGAAATATGCGCCAGGCCGCCGCTAATTAATCACCAAACGTATATTACAATACATAAATAAGAACATGCCGACTGGAGCAGGGTATATTATTACCGGTGTCGCGCGAGTCTGGATGCAATAACGAACACGTTACGGCACACTAATAATAACGCGAGACCGTGTCGTCGCCGCCCGATGGGTTTTCAACACATTACCATAATCTCGTGACATGACACTCTTTTGTGCGACTGCTAGTTGGTATTATTCTTGTTGCAGCCACCGAGCGTACCTCCTGCACATGTACGTTACACTCGCCATAGGTATATGATGTATGTACATGCCGCAGAGCTAGCCGTCATGGCTTATCCTGTGTGTGTTCCATGTGGAAACTCTGTGGCCACCGCGGTCGCCCGAAGATTTCTCCAATAACATACCCACTCACGTACGTTTCCTGCTGCAGGCCAACCGGCCGGCAGAACGTCATTAGACTTGAGTTTTTGCGAGAAAACAAAAAAAACAAATGTTTTATTAATGCGAGCGCGGCTTTTTTCCTCAAAGAAATTCCGAACGAGACTTGACGATCAAGACATTACATCTATGATCCAATTGTAAAAAAAGATTCACATTAAGTGATTATTACGATCTAATGAATCGCCGTTTTATACTTTTTATCTTGCGTCACCGGTATACTTCATCCGTAACGGCCGGAGAACTGAGTTTTTTAGATCTTGAATCGGGACAGGTTTTTTTGTTTTTTTCCTCGTCATGTTTGTACTCGTATTTATCACTGGAGAGAGTATGATCATAAACAACGCCTAGTTGTCGCCCCGACTCTTTGCGCCATACGGTGAACACTCTGTTTACTTTATGCGCAACGGTTGCGTATAGTAGTGGCCATAAAATTAGTTAACAGGAAGTGTATGGTAGCCGAGCGAAGATAACGCGGTCCATAGATCAAAACGTGGGTTGGCATTTTCAGCGTCCCGATTATGTGTTATTTAATATAGACATACGCCACTCGACTGGAAGCCACTTGGTCAGGCACAAACGGCAATAAATTTACCGCCGCTGCACGTCGTTTATATACTCGTATAATAGACATCCAAAGCTGTGCGCACTGTACTACTAGTGCAAATAAACTAGCGGAGACATCCGAGGACGACAATAATTTACGACCGCGCGTGATTGATTCTCACGGGATATTATATTACGCTGATAAATATTATGCTTACCATGCAATATGTACGTGCATTTAGGTGCATTGTATTGTTGTACGCGTATTCATACTGCAATGCGGATATTCATTGAACGAAAATATTTTATGGAGGAGACGTGCGCATCTAGTGGTTCAACCGAATTAACCGCAATTCGTAATTGGAATTGTTCACCGAAAGGACCGTTCTCCTGGGGATTCCCGAGCGAGTTTGCGTTTTGTGACAGGAGTTTAAATTGCGTTAAGAGAAGTTTTCTCAACTGAATAACCCGACAAAAGCATGACACACATGGCAAAACTGTTGGCTAATATCATCGTGGTTGTTT